AAAAAAAAAAAAAAAAAAAGAAAGAAAAAGAAAGTAATAGTGATGGAAGTCATGGAAAAGCTGGGGGACCTAGGAGTGGAGGCACCCCAGAAGGAAATAAAATGCTTACATTCCAGTTAAAGATGCATATTGATGATGATACTTCTGAAACCTACTATAACAAAAGCAGAGATTTTTTTTTTTTTTTTAAAGCATAATTGCACAAGAACAAAAGAAAGAAGAAGAGAATGACAGCAACAAGGTTTCAGAAGCTGCAAAGCTGATGGACGACCAGTGCCTAACAGCATGAGAGAAAACAAATGCTAAGGCATTGTAGAAATACTGGACAGTGACCGAGTGTAACTGCTGTGCAATCGCCCAAAGGCTCAGGCCTTAGTGACCTCGGGTGCTTATAGGAGTGGGGGTGAAAGTGGGTTATGAAAACAGGAGGCTGGTGAGAGCCCCTCTCCCCTTGGCCAAGAGAGTGTCACACTTTCCCCTCCATTCCAAGGTTTCATGTTGAGAGATGACAGAGTTACCGGTGCCTAGACTGGGGGAAATCTGCACATTTGGGGCACTGGCAGCACACAGAGAATAGGGAGCTTCAGGGAAGGATCCCATAACCCTTCTCTCCCACTCAGCCGTGGAACGCTGGCAGCTGGACTCACCCCCTCTGAACAGTGGACTGGGGGAGCTTTCTCTGGGGAATCTCACTTAACTTTAAAGGGGAGCTGCTTGCTCATTCTCCCCTTTAAAGAACCTATGTTGAGAACCTATGTTGATAAGCTCCTCCCCAATAAACAGTCCATCCAGCAGCTTTTTTTAAGTGTACCCCTGAAAACATGAGTGAACAGCCAAGAAACACCAAACATTTGAGAATTGCCTCTAATATCAAAGACAGGTAGAAAAAAATTAAGACGGATAAAGCTGGGATTATAAAGGATGTACAGGACATGTGGAAAACTACCATTAAGATCTCAGAAAAGGATGGTAGTGTACTTATGAATCACGGCAGGGTGCTATGAGAAAACTTCAGGAAGCATACATGCTCCTGGAAGTTAAAAATGATAGGAGAAATGGAAAACAATAGGAGGGTTAGAAAATCAGAGAAACAGTCTCCAAATTAAAAAAAGAAAGAAAACAGAAGGGATCAAAGAAATAATGATTTCTGAGAATTAACAGTCATGAGTTTCTAGTTCGAAAGGCATGCTGAGCCCCTATATGATGACATTTCAGAACACTGGAACAAAGAACATCTTGCCAACTTCCAGAGAGGAAAGATGGAGGCATGGCATCTGGCTTCTCTGCAGCAAGCCCAGAAGCTAGGTATCAATGGAGCAGTGGTTTCAGCATTCCCAGGGGAAATCACTTTCATGATAGAACCCTACACCCAGCCTAGTTATCAATCAAGTTTTAGGTAAAATAAATACACTTTCAGATGGGCAAGATCCCCCCAGGAATATTTCCTTGCAATATTTTTTTCAGAAACAATTGGAAGATTTGCTCTGCCCAAAGAGTAAAGCAAAGAGGAATAAGATGCAGGAGCAGGAAATGGGGCACCCAATCAGCAGGGGTGAAAGGAACTCCTGGGTTGACAGGGAAGAAAGATGCCAAGATGGGCAGTGTAGGAGGCAAGAGTCACCAGTCCAGAGGGAAGCAGGCAGAAGGTTTTGGGAGAGATCACCTCAAGAAGATGAACTTGACATACTAGTTGATGTGTGTCGAAAGGAGATTCATCTGACTAGGAAAGGACTTGGAGATACATTATCATTAGTATCATTCACATAAAAAAAGTCAAGCAAACAGAAATTAAGACAGATATTAACTCCAGAGAAAACAAAAGCTGGGTGAGAAAGGAAGAGTAGTCATTCTATCCTTGATGGTTTGAGGGCGAGAAAGGAAGAGTACTAATCTGTATCCTCGATACAGATACTGACCTAACTGCAACTGCAATACAGATGGGGAGACTGACTGGATGGGAAGTGGCTGGGAAAGTACAAATTTTTCATTTCCACGTGAAAGCCCCAACTTGAAAATCAACAAGGAGCAATATAATAAGCAGAATATTTGTAGATATGGGGAGTATATAACCAAAAGACGGGCTAAAAGAATTGAGCAGGAAATAGGAAGAGGTGGACTGGAGGGCCGCTGTATTTCACAAAGGCTTTGAGAATCCCTGACTCTTTTAGATCACAGGCATCCCAGTGTTGATAAAGGGAAAAACACATTTAAAACTATAACCAAGGCTGGGTGCGATGGCTCATGCCTGTGGATCACCAGAGGTTGGGAGTTTGAGACCAGCCTAACCAACATGGAGAAACTCCATCTCTATTAAAAATACAAAATTAGCCGAGCGTTGTGGCGCATGCCTGTAATCCCAGCTACTTGGGAGGCTGAGGCAGGAGAATAGCTTGAATTGGGAGGCAGATGTTGCAGTGAGCCGAGATCATGCCACTGCACTTCAGCCTAGGCAACAAGTTTGAAACTCCATCTCAAAAAAACACAAACAAACAAACAAACAAACACAACACAACAAAATTAGCTGGGTATGGTGGTGTATGCCTGTAATCCTAGCTACTTTGGGAGGCTGAGGCAGGAGAATTGCTGGAACTGGGAGGCAGAGGTTGTAGTGAGCTGAGGTTGCACCATTGCACTCCATTCTGGGAAACAAGAGTGCAACTCCCTCTCAAAAAAACAAAACAAAACAAAACAAAACCCAACAACAAAAAATTATAACCAAAACACTTCTGTCATTGAGGAAACCGTCTCCTCCAGAGTAACAGCCCTACAGACTTGGGAGGCTCAGCTGCCTTCATGGAGAACCCAACAAAATCACCTACCTTTGATGCATTTCCGGCTTTCAGGGCCCTCACGTGCTCCCCTTGAGTGGTGATGCTGTTGAACAGCTCCAGTGGAGAGGCACAGACCTCACTGTTGGACATGTTAGCCATCTCTCAGAATGGCTGGCCAGGGGTCAGAGGCTTTGTTCAGCAGAGGAGTCAAGACTAGGGAGAAAAGGAGAGCGAGGGAAAAAGAGAGATTAACAAAACACTGCAGCTGTTTTTCCTTTCCTGGATTGAGTCCATTTTTCTGAAAAGGTTGTGAGGTGAGTTACAATAAAGGACATGGATGATAAAAAGAGAAGCAGAAATTTGGGGCCATGAAAAAGAGGAAAAGGGGAAGAACAAATGTCAATGATGAGGACTAAAGCGGTGACTAGGATTTACTGACTTAAGAGAGGCCCTCCTAGTTAAGACTGAGTTTGCATTTGGTGATGCCCCCTGTACCCCACCCAGTGCCCAGAACATAGGACTCCTGTTTGCTCAGGGTATAAACACCAATGTGTTTTAATAAACCTAAGTTCACTAGTGCTATACACATTTGGCAAATTACTAAATTACTATATGCTGTTTTTTTTTTTTTTT